TGATCGGCCGACCGTCGCTGCCAAACGTTTGTTCTTTCTTGGTTGTTTGGAGCTTCCCCGCATCTCCATCTGCCCCTTTCTGGGCGGATATCGGCTATCACCAAGGTTCAGGCTAAGAGAGGCTACTGATGTAAGATGAGAGTGCATGCCGATCGTGCGTTGCATCTAGGAGAATGCCATGCGGAGGGAAGCCACAGAGACCGACACACCGCTTGATTGTCTCCGTTTTCTTTCTCGTTGAATGCGGAGTGCAGCTATCGGGTTAGGAGCTATACTGCCATCCCGTCTTCATGTTCTTTGTGTTATCGCGGAGTTGAGATGGCTGGTTGAATCGACGGATCGACCATCAGGGCTTATCATGTGCCGCATCGACTTTCCTAATTGGGACGTGGCGAAGGGCTTCGCAAGTCAGTGATTCCATTCGCAGGGTCTCTTATCTGGAGGTGGTGTAGTTGCTGCGGGGGGTTATTTATACACATGAACAAAAGTTGCAATGAGCGAATAAAAATCACGGCAGTTCCTATAACATAGTGGTAATATAGTAGGGGCGCAATTGGGATGTAATAATCCCTCGCGGTGCGCCACGAGAGCTGTTGTTGTTCTCCGTTGAGAGGGAAATGTAACCCTCAAAAGTCCGTTCGATCCATGGCTCCAAGACGAAGGGGAGAAAAATACTAGACTATCCCCACTTAGGATGTCCTACCGAGTCTAACACAAAAAAACCCCCGCAAAACTTTTATTGTACAGGCAAAAAACCGACAGAAAAAAAGAAAGGAAAAAAAAATAAAAAATAAAAAAATAACCCAACGTCACGATCCAAGACTTATCAAATCCTCGCCTATCAATGACTGATGGACCTTTCCGCCATGACCAATTCCACTGATTAAACTCTTGATAACCTTCTGCACCTTTTTTCTCCAACGAATGGCTTCTTCCTAAGTGAGGGGGCCCGAAAACGTCCGGAGCCAAAGCAGACGCAGCTTCCTTGCTTCCCCTCTTCGTCGACGACCGCATTTTGATATATGAACCCCTGGGGTCAGCATCCAGGACTTCTCTCGAACAAAAAAGCTCCGCGCAGAAAATGGACAGTTGGGTGCACCACTTGCCCAGTGAATTGAACCAACCACCTCTCGGCTGAATCCTCATCATTTTCGTCGCACGCGATTAAATCTCCGTATGGACCTGGAATCCAACTCCCAGCCCATCAAACCGCACTCGGTCGACCAGGATGTGCAAGATGCTCACGATCTCGCGGCGATGGGCCATGACCAGGCCCTGACTCGCAAATTCGACTTGTGGAGCATGCTAGCCCTGGCATTTTGCGTCCTGGGTAAGAACTCCGGTCCCCTACCGATAGTATCAGCCGCGGGGAAACAGTCATTAACAAGGAGTACAGGGACATACTCGACCTTTGCACAAGATCTGAGCAGCGGCCTGACCAACGGCGGCGCGGTGACCATCCTGTGGGGTCTGTGTCTGGTCACAGCATGTAACCTCTGTGTTGCCGTATCGCTTGGCGAGCTCGCCAGTAGCATGCCGACCGCGCTCGGTCAGGCTTACTGGGTATTTCGACTGTGGGAGACTCCCTTGGGGCGCTTTGCCTCGTACATGTGCGCCTGGATCAACACCTTCGGGTGGTGGACCTTGACCGCATCACAAGTCGCCTTCATGACCGAGTTTCTCCTGGGGATGAAGGTCATGTTCGAGCCCACGTGGGAAGGCGCCGGCATCGGATGGCTGCAATTCCTCGTCTACATTGGCTGTGTGTTTGTCCTAACGGTCATCAATGTGGTGGGCTGTCGGAGAGAGAAAATCCTCCCGTGGGTCAATAACTTCGTCGGCGTATGGTTCACCGCGCTATTTGTCATCTTGTCGCTGGCCTTGCTGATCTCGGTCGGAGTAAAAGACGATCTCTCATTCCAGCCGGCGTCGTTTGTCTTTGGCAGGTGGATGAACCAGACCGGGTGGAGCGACGGCGTGGTGTGGTTTACCGGACTGGTCCAGGCCGCGTACGGTCTGACAGCCTTCGACGCGGTCATCCATATGGTCGAGGAGATCCCTGCTCCCCGCAAGAACGCCCCCAGAGTCATTTGGCTGGCTGTGCTACTCGGCGCGACCACCGGCTTTGTCTTCATGATTGTCTGCCTCTTCTGTATTCAGGATGTGGACCGGGTGGTTGACTCGCCCAGCGGATTACCCTTTATTGAGCTGATGCTCGAGACGGTCGGCTTGAAAGGCGGCGCGACCTTGATCGCATTATTCATCTTCAATGGCCTCGGGCAAGGCATCAGTATATTAACGACCGCGTCTCGACTGACGTGGGGTTTTGCGCGCGACGGCGGACTCCCTTGGAGCGGATATCTCAGCCACGTGGATCCGGTGTGGAAAGTGCCTGCACGGTCACTCTGGTTCCAAGGCGTTCTGATCGCATTAGTTGGCGTTCTATATCTCTTCGCTAATACCGTGCTCGATGCGATTCTCAGCGTGAGTACCATCGCCCTCACCATCTCCTACGGTTTGCCCATCGCCGCCCTGCTCGTCGTCGGCCGGGATAAGCTCCCACCGGGTCAATTCCATTTGGGGCGATGGGGAAAACCTGTGAACTGGATTAGCATCATTTACTGCGCCATTACAACGGTATTCTTCTTCTTTCCTGGTTCCCCGAACCCGCCGGCGAGCGACATGAATTATGCCATTGCGGTATTTGGGGTCATGTTGGTGGTGGCTATTGGGTTTTGGTTTGTTCAGGGTAGTCGCACCTATCTGAAGACGGAGGATGCTGTTGCACAGATGGTTGTCGCGCAACAGTTGGAGAACGATGGGGGCAATGAGTCGGATTCGAAGAAGAAATAGTTAGTTTCAATTGAGCGTATATCGTTTAATTGGGTTTTATTGCATTACAGCGTTTTATTTTTTTTCAGCAGGATATTAGTACAGGTTATACGAGAATTGAAGCAAGCTACAGTCCGTCCTAGTGCCTTCATCGGCATACCACCAGTAGTGTCATTAGGGCTGTGCTTTACTCACTCGACTAAACCTACATAACTAGTTAGTATACCTACATAGTAATCAACGCTCAGGCTTGGAACTTTATCTGATCGCTATGAATGTTCAAATCTTCAATTCAGCATGACCAGAATACCTCACCTTTTCTAATCGCATTCAAAACCGAGCATTGATCTCAGCCCTCTCGAATATGTACTATCAAACTAATACAGTCATAAACTTTACCCACATCCACTAACTGATACGTATGTATACCCATCACAAATCATTTATACTCAACACCCATATTAACCCTAATCTCCCCATCAACATCCCTCCCCTCACCTCACCATGGGTTTAAACCCCCTACAAAACCAACAAAGCCCCAACAGCAACAGCCCCCAACTCCAACCTCGCAAACCCCGTAACAGCAGGCGCCGCATTCGCCGACCCCGTCTCCTCCCCACCACTCTGCGCAAAACTAGAAGTACCAGTCGCAGTCGCAGCAGAGCTGACACTATCGTTCGCCTCCCGGGTATCGATGTTGTCAGACCCGGACGTGGACCGCGTTTGCGTGGCCGATGTCGTTCTAGACGCTGCAGAGCTAGAGGTGGAGCCGGAGCTTGAGCTTGAATCTGAATCGGTAGATGTAGCCCTGGCTGTAGTGGCGGATGAAGTCGAGGTGGTGCGCGTGCGTGTGGATCTGTCCGTCTCCGTCGTGATTATGTCGTCTGTTGTCGTGGTCGCGGTGTTGAACATTGTGCTGGCGTAGGGGCTGTGGACTGTGATTCTTGTTGCTTCGCTGGTGCAGCCTCTGTTTTTTCCTATTAGCGTGTACTCTTGAGGGAAGAGGAGGGTAGGTAGGGTAGGCTAGGGTGTGGTAGAGAGAGAAACAAACCCGATGATGTTCCCACAACATCCGATAAACACATTTCCACGGAATTCGCACCGTTCTATGAGATTACACCCGACTGTTTGTCCCATTAGCATTTATGCTTTCCCCATGCCATGAGCTCGTGTAGGGAGGAATGAGTAAGAGCAAAACATACCACCACCCTCATCATGAGCACAGCATGTCGGCGCACACCCGTTCCCACAGCAAACGCCGAACAGGCATTGCGATCCATCAGCGCATGTCTGTCGTTTCTGGAGGCCTGCTTCTTCGATCGGTGTGAAGTCTTTTCTGGATGGGATTATGGGTGCCCTGAGGGCGCCTCGTTCCTCGTTGGGCTGCGCAGCGCAGAATGTCGCGGTTGCCAGGAGGAGGGATATGGTTTCTGTGAAGCGCATTGTGTCGGTTCGGTTATTTTATATTATAGAGCAGACGGTGTATACTACTGGGTGGGATCTAGGAGTAGAAGGTAGGTAAAAGCAAGAAAGGCTCAATTTAGTAGTACGACTACAGAAGTATTTATGTCTTTAGTGCTTCTCAGCTTCTTTGTGTCCGATTGTTCAAGGCGGGTTTTGGATCTCTCGTATTTGATCTTGGCGCGGCCCATTTTGTCGGTATAGTGTCGTACCCTGTGGGTTGTGGCGGTAGATCTCTATACGAAAGAGGAATGGAGGATGTTCGTTTATTTTAAAGCTCGTATTGGGGCTTTGGGACTAATCGGTTGGTCGGGTTATTTGTCGTTTGAACGGGAGAGGGTACTAGTTGAACGAGTCAATGGAAGTTATTAGACTGAGTGAGTAGTAGTTCGAGAATGTCTGTGAGTGTAGATGTATATATATATTGTACTCTGGATATATATCTTCTAAGCATGGTTTCAAGGTGGAGTACCACCGCAGTATATACGCATGTTGTTAGGGCTATTATGGATCTTTGCCAAATCTTGAGAGACATCCTGGAGTGGTATGTACATCACTTGTGATGGCCATTCACAGTTTATGTTGAGTAGCCTGGGAAGGTGTTCTCCGAGTTGAATATACATCTACGTCGAGAGCTGGAATCGAGGTGCATGTATTTGTACTGACATTTATAGGGTGAAGATGAGTGCCGGCACTCATCAACCTAGGGTTGTGTAGTGTAATGGTTAGCACACGGGATTTTGAGAAGAAGTCTTCCCGTAATCCCGGTTCGATCCCGGGCACGACCTAAGTTCATTTCTTTTTCTCCCGTCATGGAACGAACCTGTCTCTGTTAGGGACGTGGTTATTTGGATAAAATTATTCGCACGCCCTCCTTTTCTTCCCATTTCAACCCCACCGGTTTTTAGGTCTAATTACAATATCTTGCCTAAATCAATTCCCATATTGGGGGGGGGGGAGACTAGTAGGTAACGTTGAGTCAATATGAAATTCAAGTCTAACCGTGTGAATTACTCGTGTCCAGAATACTTTTGAGGACAATTCTTTGATCCCTGAGATTTCGGAATTCTGCAACATCTACAACACCTACAATTTCGACACCTTTAGTGACTTTTAAGTGCGGTATACAGATTGCTCTAGTCGTAGTATACAGTGGACGAACACGAACCAGCAAGCTCACAACCTCAAAAATATATTTTATTGACTCATGACATATTACATCGAAGCGTATTTAAGATAAACCATATATATCGTTGACGTCCGAGCATCTACAACCGAATCTACTCAGAAAGCGCAAGCTTAACCAACTTGGCGAAATCAGGCGTACCCAGACCAGTAACCGGGTCCCAACCCTTAGTAGCGTTCCAGCTAGCATAAGGCACAACCGGACCACCATCAGAGGCGCCCCCAAACCGCGACTTACCGTCACAGCCAGTGCTACCACCGTGCACGATATCGTTCAAGCCCTTACGACCACCCTTGTAAAGCCAAGGGTTCAGGAAGCCCAGGGTAGGCTTGCCCGCGCGCAGACGCGCATCGTTCAGCAGCGCAATGATGGCGCTGAAGGCCGGGGCGGATGCAGAGGTCCCGCTGAATTGGCCCAGCACGCCCTTGTCGTAGACGGCGAAGTCCACGCCCTGGGCTGCGACGTCGGGAAACGCACGTCCGGTCTCGTTGTACAAGCCCTCGTATCTGTCGCCCAGCGCCTCGAGGTAGCTGCTTACGGCTGCGTCTTGCCACTTGGGGCGGCTCCAGTAGTCGGAGAAACCGCCCGAGGAGAAATAGACGGCTTTCTCGGGATTGGTCTTGTAGGTGGCGCCGACGGAGGTGACCCATGGGCAGGCGGCGGGGAATTGGGGCGGGAAGTGGGTGGTGTTTGTGCCGTCGTTGGTGAGGCAGCCTGCGCCGACGCCGGAGTCGCCGGAGGAGAAGAGGACGGAGACGCCGCGGCTGCCGAGTTGGGCGATGAGGTTGCAGACGGTGCGGGCGTATTTCTCGGGGATTTCCTGTGGGGGGTTAGCTTGTTATATAGATAGAAGTTGAGAGTGGGTTTAAGGAGCGTGCTTACCTGTTCGTTCTCACCATAGGAGGTGGAGATGACCTGGGGGAGGTGCTCCTGGTCCAGCTTGAGGACGTTCTGGAAGAACTCGAGGTAGGGCTCGTTGCTGTTCTTGTTGGGGTCGGGCTGGGTCAGATCGGGGATGAGCGGGCCGCGGCCGCCGGTGCTGAACTCGGTGACCGGCAGCTTTGCGCTGAGGCCGACGATGTACTGCAGGTCCAGGTTGGCCTCGCCGCTGTCGCTGTTGGAGTTCTGGTCGTTGAGACCGCCGTTGAACTGGGTGACGGAGAAGTTCAGGCCCTTGGCCCAGGGGGCGATGGTCTGCTCGAACTTCTCCAGGTCGCTGTAACGGGCGTATTCCTCCAGGTAACTGGCGAAAGCGACCTTGCTGCCTGCTTTGGGATCGGGCTGGTAGTCACCGATGTTGTAGAGCTCCTTCAGGCAGGTGGGGGTGATGACGGTATCACAGTGCGAGCTGTTCTTGGCCCGGATGGAGGCGCTGAGGGCCTTCTCGTCGATCCGAGAGGGCTTGCTCTGCAGGATGGCACCGTTCTTGGTGATCTTCCCGAAACGGGTGGTGGGTTGGATCGTGTTGACATGGGGAGACACTGAGTCGGGGATGGCGTACTCCAGGGTCCGCAGGCGGCGGACGTTCTTCACGTCGCTAACGTAGTACTTGAACTGGGCATGCAGCAGGGAATTGGCCTGCTCGACTGTAGTGTGGATGTTGATCCAGTCGGCATCCTGCTTGACGTCGGTGATGCCGGCGGATTTGAGCCACTCTTGGACCGCATTGAGGGTGGTGTCGGTGGGGAGCAACATGCGCTTCATCTCATCATGGGTCGTGAAGTGCTGGCCGTAGCTTGGGTGGTCCGGGTCTGACATCTCCAAGACGGCCTTTTCGAAGCTGGCGACATCGTGCTGGGCCAGAGCGATCTTGAGGTCAATAGGTGTGTCACCCTTGGGGGTGCTGGAGTAACGCCAGCCTAAAAAACAAATTAGCACTGCGAACGAGTACTTGCAGACGTAACAAATGTTAACTGGAACAATGACAGGGGATGTATACCCTTCGGGACGGCGGCAAGCTTCTCGAAGACCTCTGCGTTGGCGGAGGAGCTTAGCAGTGCAAGCACTGCGAACGAGAGAGCTTCACGGCTGAAGAGAGAAGTCCACATGATGAATTGGCTCCCCTGAGTTCAACGGCGGACAAGGGCTGCTGAGGGGAAGGGGGACGAAGCTGCAAGAGAAATGCGGAGAGTATTTATTTTGCGGCCGGATGACCAGTCATCGCGTGATTGTTATCGACTATGGGGACTGGAGGCTGCAATCACACTGATAGTCGAGTGAAATGCATACCACTGAGCAATCAATGCACCGGACGTCCGTCGGGACCCTCATGAACAAACCAGCATGATTGGATGGACCCTCTGGGATCCAGCCAGGCAGGCAATCCATAGTTACATGGCGCGAGGCAGGAACTGCGCTTCTGACTTATCAGAAGGCTGGGCGCGCGACGATCGTCAGGGGATGTGGACCCCCATCCTTCTAATGAGGAATCAGCCACTGCAGCCATGAATCTTGGCTTAAGACACGATAAACCCGGGCTGCAGTGCCATGGACTTCTTCGGTGATATCACCGTGTACGGGTTGACAGACCTGGAATGTTCTTCACATCCTGTGCGTCTGTATTCTGCCTTTCAATTTCCACATGAAGATTGCCATTGCTAGGGTTTCACTTCACTTGAGAATGTTTCCACTTTTGTTGGCCCATATTTGTTTGTGTGGTTTGCACAGGGCAGGGTTGCCAAGATAGAAGGAAACTCAATAATAATCCCATTATTGTTTCAATGTTATTGTTTTCTTTTTTTACCTTTTTCTTTTTTCTCTTTTCTTGCTCTCCGTCTCTCTTTGTTGATGACTAAAAATAAACACAACTACTCCGTACTTTGGTTCAATTTCCCTGGGTAACCGGTTCATGTAACTGGGGTCAGCAATTGACCAACAATTGACTGTCGAACTCCGCATTATTCAAGTGGTAGTGAAACCATGGAAACTGATGGCGACACTAGTCGAAGGTGGGCTAAGCTTCTTCTGTACAAGCACCGCCCAGCCGAGGCTTCTTTCCTGCCGAGAAAAGCCATAACCCTATCATTTATATTAACTGGACAGTAGCCGATATTCTCGTTGCTACATCTCTATCATGAAGGCGTGATAGCATTAGGTAACGGGTAAGCGACACAATGGACAGGTATCAATTCCCTCACAATGGTAAATGAAGTAATACACCCACCCCCACCCCGACCACGCAGTGAAGAATGCACCACCCCATGCTTGATGTAGGTACTAATTTCTCACCTTACCTAAATCTCAAGAGAAAGAAGAGTATTGCTACTAGCCTGCCACAAATGATGACTGACCCTTAGTCATTTCAACCCTACACACGGCTCGTCAATTGCCATCCTGTTCTACGTAAATATTCCATAACATCCGGTGCAGAGGGTGCGGCATTAACGGTTCGAACGAATGGATAACGGACTGATTTCCGTGGCTTGATTACAGTGGAGACACTAGGGAGCGAGGGTTATCAACAACCTTAGAGAGCGCAGATGCAGATAATCCCTGTTACTGCATTTCTTCCTTTCTTCTCCGATCGAGACGTGCGGGTTACTTTCTTGATATCAGGCAGCAATAATTGGGGTTGTTCCGGCTTCTACCCAACAATAATGCAAATGTCCATGGAATGGAGAAATTATATGTTGGGGTTACGATTATTCCTGGAGAATCTAATGATAAGTCCTATGTTGAAGTTTAGAGGAAGCATAACTGTTCCATTGTGAACTTGCTGAGTGGATACAGATCCTGTCGGTGCCTATTTTTGCGTCATCTTGTTTATGTTCCTTGACTTTGTTCGCACTCTGGTGAGATTATAGTGTTCGCCGCGCTGCCTAAATAGATAGTAGTCTGGATATACATCCCAATCCTCATCGAAACACACCATGCACAAGAGTCAAAATACTCAAATTAAAAGAATATAATGCTACAAGCCTGGCTCAATCGACGGATCTATGCAAAAATTCGACGAACTACTAAGGACGATGAGAATTTCGGGTATCCCACGGTCAAGCGTTGGGTGGCACTGTGGATACACTACCACGGGGAACGTCCTTTATACTAGAGTTTGACGATAGTGCCATTGATGATGCACTTTACCTACCTGCAACTGCACGCACATATCTCCATGCTAACATTGGAGACTCTGTCTTTCTGTGTTGCACGACACGTCAACCGAATGCTGGACTATCTGTCCAAAAGACGATTGCCCACATTCATTTTCTAAAACGTTGGGGTACTAAGTCATTCCAAACCTTCGACTCTGATTTTATGTATCATATAACAGGGATCGAAAAGAAAGAACTTCAAAAAAGATAAGATTAAAAAGAAACGTACATACAACAGCCGGGATTCACTGGTGGTCACCCACCCAACTACTAACCGGCCGGCGGATTCTCTGCTATAGCCACCACTTTTTGAAGCTTTTGAACCACCAACACCATTGGAATTGACTAATTAAATACATGAAATAATAGCTATTTACTAGGGCAATTTCGAATTGTGTGTCCTACTGTTCCACAGCCACTACAGCGTTGCGGAGCTCGTCGACGAGGCATCGGAGTTGATTCCTCGGGAAGCTCATTAAGTTGCGTATCAAGCTGCTGAACGCGATTTTGA